GCTTACTAAGTATAAATGTTTTGTCAAGCATGTATGTGAGGCTTGCCTAGTAACCAACTAGGGTACCCTAGCAACTGCCTAGCAACCACCCAAATTACCCTAGCAACCGCCTAGCAACCACCTAGCAACGGCCTAGTAATGCCTTAGTAAGGGCCTAGCGACCACTCAGGACACCCTAGCAACCGCCTAGCAACGCCTTAGCAACCACTCAGAATACCTTAGCAACCACCTAGCAACACCTTAGCAACCACCTAGCAACCACTTGGGACACCTTAGCAACCGCCTAGCAACACCTTAGCAACCACCTAGCAACCACTCACAACACCCTAGCAACTGCCTAGCAACGCCTTAGCAACCACCTAGCAACCACTCAGCACACCCTAGCAACCACCTAGCAACGCCTTAGCAACCACTCAGAACACCCTAGCAACCATCTAGCAACCACTTAGGACACCTTAGCAACCACCTAGCAACACCTTAGCAACCACCTAGCAACCAGTTAGGACACCCTAGCAACCGCCTAGCAACACCTTAGCAACCACCTAGCAACACCTTAGCAACCACCTAGCAACCCCTTAGGACACCTTAGCAACCACCTAGCAACACCTTAGCAACCACCTAGCAACCACTCAGAACACCCTAGCAACCGCCTAGCAACACCTTAGCAACCACCTAGCAACCTCTCAGGACACCCTAGCAACCGCCTAGCAACACCTTAGCAACCACCTAGCAACCACTCAGGACACCCTAGCAACCACCTAGCAACGCCTTAGCAACCACCTAGCAAACCTTAGCAACCACCTAGCAACACCTTAGCAACCACTCGGAACACCCTAGCAACCGCCTAGCAACACATTAGCAACCACCTAGCAACCACTCAGAATACCCTAGCGACCACCTTGCAACACCTTAGTAACCACTTAGCAACTAGTCAGAACACCTTAGCAACTGCCTAGCAACACCTTAGCAACCACCTAGCAACCACTCAAAACACCCTAGCAACCGTCTAGCAACACCTTAGCAACCACCTAGCAACTAGTCAGACCACCTTAGCAACTGCCTTGCACCACCTTAGCAACCACCTAGCAACCACTTAAAACACCCTAGCAACCGCCTAGTAAAATGCTAATTCATGCTAGAATCATGCTAACAACATGGTAATTCATGCTAGAATCATGCTAGTAACATGCTAATTTATGCTAGAATTATGTTAACAACATGCTAATTCATGCTAGAATCATGCTAGTAACATGCTAATTCATGCTAGAATCACGCTAACAACATGCTAATTCATGTAAGAATCATGCTACTAACATGCTAATTCATGCTAGAATTATCCTAGTAGCATGCTAATTCATGCTAGAATCATGCTAGTAACATGCTAATTCATGCTAGAATCACGCTAACAACATACTAATTCATGCTAGAATCATGCTAGTAACATGCTAATTCATGCTAGAATCATGCTAACAACATCCTAATTCATGTAAGAATCATGCTACCAACATGCTAATTCATGCTAGTAATATGTTAACTCAAGCTAAAATCATACTAACATTCTATTTACACTTTAAAACCACTTCAAACTTTGAGATTCGGCTTTTCAAGCCACCATAAAGTTTGTCCTCAAACTTTAATATCTAGTTTAATTTATTATTTGTAAAATAATTTTACAGCTGTCCCCATGCTTCTGTCAGTCCTGTCACATGTGCATTAAATTGAAAATAAAATTTGAGCAATGCACCTTTAAGGCTGTGATTCAGAGGAAGTGACATCATTTGAGGAGAAGCTGACAGTGATCATGGATTGAATTGGGATTTGTTTGAGGAGGACAAGCTTAAAGGTCAGACCATGTCATTTTTATAAGTAAAAATGTACTTTATATATATATATATATATATATATATATATACACACACATCTGGTGCCTGAATAATTATTTATTACTATAAAAATGCTTGAGAGAAGTGCTGTGCTTCTGAACATTCTGGTCAGAATAAGTTCATAAATAGTCATAAATGTTTCTTAATTGTATTTAATTCCATATTGAAAACTGAAGGTTATGTATAAATAGGCCACAGATAGAGAGGGAACTGTATAACTTGTTTAAAACTAACAGGCCTAATTATATATATGTGAAATGTACATTAAATGTTAAGAACTCAGGTAAACTTTTTAAATGGATATCATGGTTAAGATAAAATCAATGCTTCTCATTAACAAATAAAACATTCTGAATTTCATATAAAAAACAGGAATTTCATATCATTAAATGAGCTCAAACGTCAGCTTTCATTCAGATTAGATTACAGTTTTATGCTGGTAAAATGTGTAGATCATGAAAAGTTTGTCAAAGTGCCTTTAAGACTAGATTAATATACTATAGTCTTTAGCATACCATTAGCATGCTAGGCTATGCTAACGCAGCAACACGTGCTAAGCTAGTTAGCATTAGCGGTACCTCACAAATGCAGCATTTTGTCAAGAGTGTGTTTCGATTTTTTCCTTTGAGTGTTTTCCTCATTTAAAGTGATTTTGGGTCTTCTGGGGCCATCTAATGGTGACTGATGGCATCTGTTTGTCTCTACACCCTTTAGAATAGCAGGCCTTCACAAGTGCTGTGTCCTGCCATAGTCCTCACAAGTATAGAAAAACAAGTATGTGTGTGTGTGTGTGTGTGTGTGTGTGTGTGTGTGTGTGTGTGTGTGTGTGTGTGTGTGTGTGTGTGTGTGTGTGTGTGTGTGTGTGTGTGTGTGTGATATATATATATATATATATATATATATATATATATATATACACAGACAGTTGAAGTCAGAATTATTAGCCCCCCTGAATTACTACTTATTTTTTCCCCAATTTCTTTTTAACGGAGAGAAGATTTTTTTTAAACATATTTCTAATTATAATAGTTTTAATAACTCATCTCTTATAACTGATTTATTTTATCTTTGTCATGATGACAGAAAATAATATTTTACTAGATATTTTTCAAGACACTTTTATACAGCTTAAAGTGGTATTTAAAGGCTTAACTAGGTTAATTCGGTTAACTAGGCAGGTTAGGGTAATTAGGCAAGTTATTGTATTGCGATGGTTTGTTCTGTAGACTATCGAAAAAAATAAGCTGAAAGTGGCTAATAATTGACCCTAAAATGTTTTTTAAAAAATTAAAAATGGCTTTTATTCGAAATAAAACAAATAGGACTTTCTTTAGAAAAAAAGATATTATCAGACATACTGTGAAAATTTCCTTGCTCTGTTAAAAATCATTTGGGGGGGGAAAAAATCAAAGGGGGCTAATAATTCTGACTTCAACTGTGTGTGTGTGTGTGTGTGTGTGTGTGTGTGTGTGTGTGTGTGTGTGTGTGTGTGTGTGTGTGTGTGTGTGTATATACAGCTGAAGTCAGAATTATTAGCCCCATTCAAATTTTTTTCTTCCTTTTTAAATATTTTTCAAATGATGCTTAACAGAGTAAGGAAATTTTACACTATGTCTGATAATATTTTTTCTTCTGGTGAAAGTCTTATTTGTTTAAATTTGTTTAATAAAAGTAGTTATTTTTTTTAAAACACCATTTTAGGAACAAAATTATTAGCCCCTTTAAGCTATATTTTTTCTTGATATTCTACAAAACAAACCACTGTTATACAATAACTTGCCTAATTACCCTAACCTGCCTAGTTACCCTAATTAACCCAGTTAAACCTTTAAATGTCACTTTAAGCTGTATAGAAGTGTCTTGAAAAATATATAGTCAAATATTATTTACTGTCATGATGGTAAAGATAAAAGAAATTACTTATTAGAGTTCTTAAAACTATTATGTTTAGAAATGGGTTAAAAAAAAATCTCCCCATTAAACAGAAATTGAGGAAAAAATAAATAAGTGGTCTAATAATTCAGGAGGGCTAATAATTCTGACTTCAACTGTATATATATATGTATGTGTGTGTGTGTGTGTGTGTGTGTGTGTGTGTGTGTGTGTGTGTGTGTGTTTGTGTGTGTGTGTGTGTGTGTGTGTGTGTGTGTGTGTATATATATATATATATATATATATATATATATATATATATCAATGTTTACTAATTGGGCACCAAAAATACTATAATAATTAACATTGCAATAATTCATTTAGAATTAAATGTATGCAAACATATTGCCATTGCGCTTAGGGTGTCTCAAGTTCTAGCTCACGAGCATTTCTCAATAAAAAAAGCACAAACTCCAAAATTAAATCTTACATAAGTTAATGAATTCATCTTTATTCCACCCAAACACATACTGTTTAACAACAGTGAAGAATGTGACTCATGAAATCTTATCAAACTGCACTTTTAGTAAGCAGAAAGGTTTGAGTTTTGGTTGAGTGTTCGTTTGAGAACATCGGAAAACTGAGAACAGTACAGTATGCAGGATATTTAGTCGAGCATCATTATCAGGCTACAGAAGAACATAAAAATAACTTGTAAATATTGTTGAATGGCTTGTACTGTATGTTGTTGATTCCCATCTTGTTTGCCCCCGTGATGCCTCATTGTCTGTCAGTTCACTCACTACCAACTAACACTAACTAATCAGCTAAAGTCATCTGTCGGTACTGTATGTGTGCCTGCTTAAAAAAAGGAAGAGACAAAAAAAAGTTTACCACTGTCTTGCAATTCTGTAGAGCATCCAGTCAGTTCTGTTACGTTTTCATTCACTCCATCACTGTTTTCATCCCATCCCTGCCATCGGCATCTAAATGCTTCACAGATCCATCCTTTATGTGAAACGACAGAAAGGGAGACTTACTGTAACTCTGCATGGACAGAGAGATACACATTGAAACCATTTGTCGTGTGCTTTTCATCTGCTAGTTTGATTTATTTTTTGATGTCCCGTCACCATCTCTGCCACCGCATGCTCCTCCAATGCATTCAGTTGGGAGTATTTAGATCTAACCGAGGGTCCCCTCTCTTTAAAACCCCTGGCCTCCCCCCTCCCCTTCCCGGTACAGGTGTATTGAGGAGGATGCAGGCCTGTTAGATCTGGAACCTCTGCCTGGTTTCCCAAAAGGCATGGAATTCCATAAGGCCGCCGAGGAGCCCTATGACATTAAAGACATTTTTAGCCCCTCGGTAGAGTCGGAGGCGCTGAAAGAAACACTTTTCAGGCAGGCTAAAACCCAGGTATGTGACCGTACCTGCTCCAGAGCACGAGAGAAGGACAGAGAGTTATACATGAATATGGACTGAGTTCATTTTAGTTTTGCTTTTACAACATTTTTCAGGATTTCCCAGCCAGGGTTTGTTGTAACGACGACAATAGGAGTCAAATAAATATGATATATAATATATTATGGTAAATGCGTATAATGTTAATATACATGGTCAAAAAAATGCTGGGTTCCACACAAAGTTTGTGTTGGGACAACATGAAGGAATTAAGCTAACTTATTAGTTTATACAAATTTAAGTGGATTGAACATGAAAGTTGTCTCCCAAAAAAGCTCAAGAATTGTGTTGATTCAGGTCATTTAAATTAATTTAAACAAGCGCAACAGGCACACAACGTCATAAGACATTACAATTAGATTAGATTTAGGTTGTGACGTCAGATGACCAAAATTCAATGTACTGTATAGTCAGCGTCTGAGGACAACGTCATTTTGTCGTCCAATAATGATATTAAATAACATTGATATTTGGTTGATTTTAGGTTGTGTTGGAAAGTGACCAAAATCCAACGTTGAGCAAACATCTTAAACCAAAGACATATTGACGTCAAATACTGACATTTATTCGTCAGGTATGGCAACCAAAATCCAATTTGTTATAGAAGCCATAGTGGTAATGTCCACACAACGTCAAGCTGTAACATCATTAGACGTTGATATTTGGTTGATTTTAGGTTGGACATTGATATGGGCCTTATGTTAGGTTCTGACGACAACCTGATTTTCATTTCCAAACAACATCCCACAACTTTGGGGTCTGACATCATGTTGACGTCCTGTGCCAGCTGGAAAGAGCAAATGTGATTTTTTTTGAGTGTACACACACTTGTAAATTACTATTTACACACAAGTAATTTACTTAAGTGCACACACATTTGTAATTTACTATAAAATAAAGGGTCAACTTATAAGGTTGGGAATTCCTGCAAAAACAAATGCAGCAAAACTATACAGTTGAAAACAAGATTATTAGCCCTCCTTTGAAATGTGTATGTTTTTAATATATATATATATATATATATATATATATATATATATATATATATATATATATATATATATATATTTGGCAAGTTATTTTTAACTGAGAGATTTCTATTTTTTAGATATTCGCTTTAATAACTGATTTCTTTTGTCTTTTCCATGATGATAGCACACAATATTCAACTAGATATCTTGCAAGTACTCAATACTAATATTAAGCTTAAAGTGCAATTGAATAAATCAACTAGGTTGATTAGGTTAACTAAGCAAGTATTGGAACGACAGTGGTTTGTTATTTAGACAATAGGGGAAAAATAAATTTAAAAAATAATATTAATAATATTAACCTTTTTTTATTCCAGCCAAAATAAAAGAAATATTTTTATTTCCAGAAGAAAAAAATTTATATATTAAGAAAAAACGTTCAGTTTCCTTGCTTTGTTAAACATCACTTGGGAAATATTTGAAAACATATAGGACAACATAAAAATCATAATTTTGTCTTCAACTGTACAACACACAACTTTTGCGGTAGCTAATCATTGTCATTTTTTATTTTAATTTCTGAGTATTGAATATTTTCAGTGTCCAGCATTGGTAAAAAAAATTAAGTTGAATTACATTAACATGACTAACACTCTAAGCTTTCTGTGTCATTTCCTTGTATATCAATCTTTAGATTGTCCTCTGGTCTCGACATTTCATGTGAAGTTGTTACGTGTCGTTTGTGTGTGACTCCAGCCAATGGTTTTGTTTTAATATTGCCAATCCACAGGAAGCGTGGAGTGTTTAAACTCCATACCTTTATTACATGATTTAAATTAAAGTGACATTATATCAGTAGGGTGTGTTTACACTTGGCAGGTTTGGTTTTATTTAAATTCAATCCAAACCTTTGTGTGAACCAATCAAATGGACCAAGAAAGCTGAAATATGAATGCAACACAGACCATAGACGTCAAAACAGTGCATCCGGAAAGTATTCATAGCGCTTCACCTTTTACACAATTTTTTATGTTACAGCCTTATTGCAAAATGGATTAAATTAATTTATTGCCACACATAATTCTACACACAATACCACATAATGATAATGGTAAAAAAGATTTTTTGAAATTCTTGCAAATTTATTAAAAATAAAAAACCTGAAAATCACATGTACATCAGTATTCACAGCCTTTGCCATGAAGCTCTAAATTGAGCTCAGGTATATTCTGTTTCCACTGATCATTCTTGAGATTTTGCAGCAGCTTAAATGGAGTTCACCTGTGGTAAATTCAGTTGATTGGACATAATTTGAAAAGGCATACACCTGTCTATAAAAGGTCCCAGGGTTAACAGTGCATGTCAATGCACAAACCAAGCATGAAGACAAAGGCATTGTAAGTAGACCTCCGAGACAGGATTGTCTTCAGGCACAAGGCTGGGGAAGGTTACAGAAAAATTTCTGCTGCTCTGAAAGTTCCAGTAAGCACAGCGGCCTCCATCATCCGTAAGTGGAAGATGTTTGGAATTACCAGGACTCTTCCTAGAGCTGGCCGGCTTCTAAGCTGAGTGATCAGGGGAGAAGGGCCTTAGTCAGGGAGTTCATCAATAACCTGATGGTTACTCTGTCTGAGCTCCAGTGTTCCTTTGTGGAGAGAGGAGAACCTTACAGAAGGACAACCATCTGCGCAGCAATCCAATAATCAGGCCTGTATGGTAGAGTGGCCAGACGGAAGGCACTCCCCACCTGGAATTTGCCAAAAGGCATCTGAAAGACTCTCAGACCATAATTTGATTATAAACAAAATTCTCTGGTCTGATGAGACTAAAATTTAACTCTTTGGAGTAAATGCCAGGCATTCTATTTGGAGAAAACCAGGCACCGCTCATCACCAGGCTAATACCATCCCTACAGTGAAGCGTGATGGTGGCAGCATCATGCTGTGGGTATGCTTCAGAGTGGGAGACAGGGGCGACGGTTAATCCTCCAGCAGGACAATGACCCAAAGCACACCGCCAAAATATCAATGGAGTGCCTTTAGAACAACTTAGTGAATGTTCTTGAGTGGCCCAGCCAGAGCCCAGACCTAAATCCTATAGAACATCTCTGGAGAGATCTGAAAATGGCTGTAATCTTTTTTTCACATTGTCTTTATGGGGTATTGTGTGTAGAATTTTGAGGAAATAAATTTATTTAATCCATTTTGGATTAAGGCTGTAACAAGAAAATGTGGAAAAAGTATGTATATATATATATATATATATATATATATATATATATATATATATATATATATAGAAATATATATATGTTTTTGTAACAATTAAATTGTGCAAATTAGTGACTTTTCTGACCATAAAAAGTCACGTTTCTTTTCGAGATCAGGCTTTAAATGCACAAATATGATGTTTTGGTACTTTTCTCATGAGTTATTCCATCCAAATGTAAATTTCCCCATCAAAAAAAATTAAGTTTTCATCAAAACAGCGAAACCGTTTCTACATTTTGAGTGTAAGCAAGTATTTTACAGAACTTTAAAAATACTTACAGTACTTTCAAAAATGTCTCTGTCAGTGTTTTCAAACTATTCTATTTGATTGACCAAAGCCACAGAAGTGGAAGTTTCACTTTTTTTTACATCCATAATGGAGAGATGTCACATACATAACCAAGCTTTTCCCTCATAAATGCAAAAATCTTATAAAATCAATCATATTTGTTATTTGTTATTGATTAGCGTTATTTCTTTTGGGTTGTGCGGTTTAATTCTCAAAATTTCGACGAAGTATGTTGTAGACTGTAAACTCGCAGACTTTTTTGGTCACATCCATAATGCATGCTTATTTTCCTCATTTCAAATCTAAAAAAAAAAAAGTTTACAGATTGATATTTTTCTGATCCCATAACTCTCTGGCTAGTTGTTTTGGAAAATATTAACAGATGTTTCAATATAATCTTAATGTATACTTTCTCTGGCAATTCAATGTCACATGCATAATGCTGGAACTGCTCTCATCTTCTCCACTCAGGCTTATGCAATGATGCTCTCTTTATCCGAGAACACCAATCTGCATTCATCCTCCCAGAACTCCTTGGACGCCTGGCTCAACATGGGAGGAGGGCCGTCGGAGGCGAGCTCCTTTCACCCCCTCAACAACATCTGAGAACACGGCACGGAGGGAGAAGAAGGAGGAGGAGTTACAGACCAACACGAAGATGCGTCAAAAAAGAGACGATTCACCACTATGCGCGAACGGAGGAGAACGTACTGTTGAGTGCGACAGACACAGGAACCAATCAATCGGGAGAGTTTCATAACACGAAATCGTCCAGTCCCAGCCATACAGCATCTATCCGTCTGCAGCTTTACCCACTGTAGTGATGTTCTCTCGCTACATCAAGAGAGCTCCAACGCATCTCCAAAAACCACCTCATTTTCAATGATATGCATTTCACAGACTGCTCTCTTTTTGTTTCGTTTTCGTAACGCTCTCAGAGAAGATGTGAGTGGACTGATGTGTTTGTTCAACTTAAGCGCATTCCATTCTCGAGTTGATTTTATTACTAGGGTTTCCTTTACGCTAACTCCCAACCGAAGTCTTACAGTAGATCAGCATTGGCACTTACTGTACGTTTATCCCACAGCTAGCATGCTAACTATTCCGCCCTGCAGTTCGCAAACGTTTATGCTGGATTTAGTTCGGTTTCGTCCCTATCTGAATCTACATAGGAGAAATCACGCAGCACGGTTGTTTCATGTGTATAGCATCATTGTAATTATTGTTGTTATGGTATTAAGTATTTTAGCTGTATACAGGCCTTTAGTCCCAACGGAAACGTTTGTTTTGAAGAGTTAAATTATTCTCCAAGTGGGGCAATTGGAAAATCTTTTTGTCTTCTTCTTCTTCTTGTTGGATTCAGTAATATTTTGTTTTTTGGTAAGCAGTATTGTTTCCTTTTTGAGCACATCTGTGCTTAAATGTTAATATAAATCTTTAGTGAAGGACCAAATTTGTACGATATTGTTGTATGATGTACAAACTAAGTTAACAGTCGGTAGCAGAGAGTGTTGTGTGCCAAATAACCCCCTTTTTCTTTGACAATCATTTCGTTTTTTCCGAGTGGTCGCCTCCACTGTTGGTAGTTTCTTCCTTTTGTTTGGTTTCCTCTGTTGTTGCTACTTACATTAATGAGTGTTTGTCTTTTATTTATTTTGATTCCTTTTTTTGATTAATGAAAAAAAATGAAGAAAAAAACATGTGTTACCCACTCTTTTGAAGGATTGAAATTACTGCAACATCACGGAGCAAAAAAATTCAGAATTGTTCAAACTCTTCCTCCTGGAGAAAGTTGCCAAAATCTGAATTACAGAAGAATGTGTTTTGTTTTTGAGCACATAAATGGTGAAGTCTGGTTTATGATGCGTCTGTTCAACCATTTAGAAACGTAGGCACTGCGTGATTCAAATAAATACATACATACAAAATCTTAAACTATCAGGTGACTCAAATAGATGGGCATTATATGTTGATATTTTTACATGATTGATCACTCTTTGCAGAGTCTTGAAATCACATTTGTTTTCTAAATCTCATTCGAAGATTCATCACCTCGTCCTAAATAACATATCAAACTCTCAACTATTCGAATGCTTGATGTTGCTTTTGTAATGCAAATGTAAGAAGAAATTAGTTGACTTTACTTTAAAAAAAGTGAGTAAACTGTTGCCTTAAAATTCCCATGAGGGCACAGGATGTTAACGTGATGTAAGATTGATGCTGTACTTCAACGTTGTAGGACGTTGCATTTTGTTTGAAAATGAAAATCGGTTTGACATCAGAATCCAATGTCCAGTCGACGTCAGTGTATAAAGTCGGACAGATGTAACATTATAATTTCTTTCCAACGCAACCTAAAAACATCCAAATATCAACGTTTAATGATGTTACAGCTTGACGTTGTGTGGACGTTACCACTATGACGTCTATCAGACGTTGTATTTTGGTTGCCACACCTGACGAATAAATGTCAGTATTTGACATAAGTATGATGTTGGTTTAAGATGTTGGCTCAATTTTGGATCTTGTTTTTTTTACCAACATAACCTAAAATCAACCAAATATTAACGTCATTTGACTTCGTTATTGGACATCAAAATAACGTTGTCCTTAGACATTGGCTAGACATTGAATTTCAGTCATCTGACGTCACAACCTAAATCTAACATAATATTAATGTCTTATGATGTTGTGTGCCTGCTGTGACGGAGATTGACGTTGTACCCCAACATCATGGGATGTTGCATTTTGTTTGAAAATGAAATCGGTTTGAGTTCAGAATCCAACGTCAATATCCAAAGTCCGACAGATGTTGGATTTTGGTTGGTTTCCAACACAACCTAAAAACAACAAAAATCAACATCAAATGATGTTACAGCTTGACGTTAAGTGGACGTTACCATGACGTCTATCAGACATTGGATTTTGGTTGCCATACCTGACTAATAATTGTCAGTATTTGACGTCAATATGACGTTGGTTAAAGATGTTGGCTCAATTTTAGATTTTGGTTTCTTTTCAACACAACCTAAAATCAACCAAATATCAATGTCTAATGATGTTACAGCTTGACATTGTTTGGACGTTACTACTATGACGTCTGTCAGACGTTGGATTTTGGTTGCCATACCTGACGAATAAATGTCAGTATTTGACGTCAATATGACGCTGGTTAAAGATGTTGGCTCAATTATGGATTTTGGTTTCTTTCCAACACAACCTAAAATCAACCAAATATCAACGGCACTTGACATTGTTATTGGACGTCAAAATAACAATGTCCTTAGACACTGGCTAGACATTTATATTCAGTCACCTGACGTCACAACCTAAATCTAACATAATATTAACGTCTTATGATGTTGTGTGGACAGGATGTCAACGTGACGGAGATTGATACGGTACCCCAACATTATGGTTGCATTTTGTTTGTAAATGAAAATCGGTTTGAGTTCAGAACCCAACTTCAATGTCCAAAGTCGGACAGATGTTGAATTTTGGTTACTTTCCAATGCAACCTAAAAACAACACAAATCAATGTCTAATAATGTTACAGATTGATGTTGTGTGGACGTTACCACTATGACGTCTATCAGACGTTGGGTTTTGGTTGCCATACCTGATGAATAAATGTCAGTATTTGACATCATTATGACATTAGTTTAAGATGTTGCCTCGACATTGAATTTTAGTTACTTTCCAACACAACCTAAAAACAACAAAACGTCTAATGATGTTACAGCTTGACGTTGTGTGGACGTTACCAATATGACATCTATCAGATGTTGGATTTTGGTTTCTTTTCAACACAACCTAAAATCAACCAAATATCAACGTCATTTGACGTCGTTATTGGACGTCAAAATAAAGTTGTCCTCAGACGCTGGCTAGACATCGAATTTTGGTCACCTGACGTCACGACCTAAATCAAACCTAATATTAACGTCTTATGACGTTGTGTGCCTGCTGGGTTATTACACAAATGAACTTAACACTTCCAACTTATAAAAGTGTTACTCACTTTAAGTAAAGCAAGCTTGCCACAGACATGTTTACTCTCATTTTTAAGTAACTAATTGCTTTTTATAGTGGCTTGTGATCAAATGTAGAGCGGCGATGCTTAACGTTAACAAGAGATTTCTGAAAGATGTCCAAATACACACGTGAGTCCTTCTTCAGCTCTGAACTGTGAAGCCAGCGAATGAATCGTAAAGCTGAATGCATATCATGAATGTGTAGAGTAGATTTAATATGTAAGTTACCTTTTCTTGATTGAATGTCAGGAATCCGTACCTTTGCTTTACTCTTCTTGCTTCTTTTAGGATTTTAAAGACTCGTCATTATCTGAATTCAGCACTTAAAACACACACACACACACTGGTTTTGGTGGTTTATAAGGACTCCCCATTGGCGTAATGTATTTTACACTGTAAAAACGACTATAAAAATGAAATGGCCTTATCCTAACCCTAACCTCAACCCTAATAAGTACAAAGTAAAACTGCAGGAAATAAATGATTTTTTAAATTATTATTATTATTGTCTCGTTTTAAATCCAAATATCTCAAAATTCGTAAATCAAGAAGCATCCTAAAGGCACACCAGCAGTACATATTTTTTGATGTCTCCCTTATCTGAACCATTCATTTCAAGTTTTGGGCTCTCTTCAAATGTTCTGATGAGTTGATTCAGCTTACGAATGATTAAGAATGTGTACTGTTGCTGTGCCTTCAGGAATAGGCTTGGGAAACACTGTTATGAACAACAACAACAAACAAAAAACTTAAAAATTCGAGGCATAAACAAGATAATTTTGCTTGTTTTAATGCAAAAACTCATTATTATTTACTCAATATGACATCTATCAGATGTTGGATTTTGGTTTCTTTTCAACACAACCTAAAATCAACCAAATATCAACGTCATTTGACGTCGTTATTGGACGTCAAAATAAAGTTGTCCTCAGACGCTGGCTAGACATCGAATTTTGGTCACCTGACGTCACGACCTAAATCAAACATAATATTAACGTCTTATGACGTTGTGTGCCTCCTGGGTTATTACACAAACTGATTCCTAAACGCACACCAACAGTACATATTTTTTGATGTCTCCCTTATCTGAACCATTCATTTCAAGTTTTGGGCTCTCTTCTAATGTTCTGATGAGTTGATTCAGCTTAAGAATGGTTAAGAATGTGTACTGTTGCTTTGCCTTCAGGAATAGGCTTGGGAAACACTGTTATGAACAACAACAACAACAACAAACAAAAAACTTAAAAATTCGAGGCATAAACAAGATAATTTTGCTTGTTTTAATGCAAAAACTCATTATTATTTCTGAAAACAAGACAATATTTTTACTTGTCTTGAAAATGTGTATGAATTTTTAGATATTTGGACTAAAAACAAAACAAAAACTCAAAGTATGTCTTTAATTACGTATAATAAGTATGATTTTTAACACTTTTGAATTACACACATCCTCACAAAACCACCATATCATTATAATATCTGCATCATACCATGTAATTATACAAAATGATCCTCATAAACCACTAAAATCAGCACACACACACACACACACACATCTGCCTAGTTCATCCTTTCCTTTACATCTAAACTTCTACCTTAGTACCGATTTTAATGGAATTTTTCAAGCAGGGCTGGTTTTAACAAGCACTTTAACTCATGGGTCATACAGGCATTTTTTATAACCAGATGCTTTCATAATAAACCCGCATATAATATTCAAGCGCTGATAGAACAGCTTTGAACATTATCTGCAAACACAAACCAAACAAGCTGGATTTGACTGGCCGGTCACAGGGAATCTGCTTGATAACACGCCGTGTAAAAACACGAATCTTACCCTGTTTCATACTGTATCTCCTCACTATATTATTTACTCAACGCCTGTGTGATGCATAGGATTGCTGGAGATGTAATGGAATTATGAGTATGGAGAATTCATGTCACATACTACTGTACTTAGCAAGCGCTGTCGGTGAAGGAATTGACCCACACTGTTAAAATCCTTTATGAAATATGGTCAAAATGAACAATGAAAATGCCCAATGTTACATTGCAAACAAACGTATCATTTCAAAAACCATCGATCATGTGGTTTCTGTCTATTAAAAACAAATAAAAAAAATGTGTATAGTATTTCGAAATATGGTTAAAAAAAAAGACATTGACGTGTCTGAAAATTCATGGGTTTGAAAATAGATGGTGCTTGTTTCATTTGGATATGAGTTGTATATTGCTTCTGTTATGTTTATTAAAAAGATATTGTGCATGACTTGTGTTTTAGAGGTCATAATGGTGTCCATTTGTGAAATGTGTATCTTAAATTAAAAAGGAAAAAAAAATAATTAAAAAAAAACAATGAATTTGTAGATGCACTTATTGTACATGTGGTTAGGTTAGTAGGTTTGACTTTTAAGTCCTGTTTACTGCCTTAAATACTATGGGCAGATGGTTATTGAACTGAACAATATGCTTGTGGGAGAGAAATAAATGAGGAAAATTTAAGGATTGTAGAATAATACTGAAAATTCTGAAATTCTTCTTTTTTTTTTTGATGCTTGTGATTACTGAAGATGTACTTTAGAGCAATTTCATGGAAAAAGACATGATTCTGATGTTAATTCTGTAGAATAGATATGTATACCAAATGTAATCTTTCCAATGCTATGAAGAATTTATACATGAAATTGATATGCAATAAAAACCTGTGTGCTTTTTATATGAACGCTGTATTTTGTTTCATTAAGGATTCCCACTGAATCATTGCACTCAACTGGCTTGTGTTATGGTCATACACTGTAAAACCCAAAAAGTTGAGGTAACTCAAACCATTTCCGATTGCAACAGAGCTTTACAATACAGTTGCATTTTGTTAGTTTACTAACATGTACCAACAAAGAACAATATGTTTATTACAGTATTTATTCATCTTTGTTTACGTTAGATAACAGTCGTTCATTGTCCGATTTTTTTATATTCAGAGCATTATCTAATGTTAATATATTATGATGATTATTATTATTATTATTCATTCATTTCATTCATTCATTTTCTTGTCGGCTTAGTCCCTTTATTAATCCGGGGTCGGCACATGGGAATGAACCGTCAACTTATCAGCATGTTTTTATGCAGCGGTTGCCGTTCCAGCCTTAAACCATCTCTGGGAAACATTCACACACACACGCACACTCATACACTGTGGACAATTTAGCCTACCCAATTCACCTGTACCGCATGAATTTAGACTGTGGGGGAAACCGGAGCCCCCGGAGGAAACCCACTCGAAGGCAGGGAGAACATGCAAACTCCACACAGAAACGCCAACTGAGTGGAGGCGCAATCCAGCGACCTTTCTGCTGTGAGGCGCCAGCACTACCTACTGCGCCACATTATTATTATTATTATTATTATTATTATTATTATTATTATTATTATTATTAAATTAACTAACATTATGGAACAATATTAAACATAACTCGGTTTAAAATTTTCTTCTCTGTGATATTGCTCATTGTTTCGTCTGAATCCACTAGATGGCAGAAATTATCAGAGGAAAAAATCTTGCACTGCATTCACTGTTAAAAATGCTGGATCCCGTTGTCCTGACACAAATTAATAAAATTAAAGTCAACTTAATTGTTTTTAAAATTTAAGTAGATTGAATATAAAACAATTAATTTGTCCCTAAAAAAACTGATTGAGTTGATTCAGCTCAATTTAAATTAAGTTTAACAACTTTATTAATCCCACCAGTTAGATTAGTAGGATTTCATGAAACAACAAACAAATAAAGAGACAGATCGCTTACAAACACTATTAAAAAAACACAATCCAGCATGCTTCATAAATAGTAAAAAAAACATAGGAATTAATGTATTATAAATTGTATGTATTAAAAATTTTCATTTAAAACTTGCTTAAATTTAATGTTGTTGTAAAGCTTTATTGCCTCTGGTTAGGTAAATGTATCTGTCAGAAGAGCATTTGATGCTTCTTAACCTTCTTCCAGAGGGCAACAGAACAAAAAAGATTCAGAGGATGGGAGTCGTCTCCTATATCACACTTGAAGTTTTCCTTAACATTTGCTGTTCGTGTAACTCTGCTAGACTCCTCAGAGGTAATTAAACCAATAATCCTGGAGCAAGTCTTGACTAAGTTTTGAAGGCGATTTTTGTTTCTAACGGAAAGTGAGGAGAACCAGCATAAAAAAGGAAAAGCAAATTAGTTTGAACAAGCCGCACAAATCGCTTTTTTTTTGTGGTATTTTGCCAAAACGAGTTCAAACACAGCTCATAATGGATCTGTAATTAACAATATATCCTGTGTATTCATTCATTTGATAAGATTTGATAATAACCTTTGTAAACATCCCAATGTGCGTTTAATGTCTAGAAAAAGAAATGTAAAGCATTCAATGTAACTGCAGTTTTTATGAATGTTTGATTTCAGATATACTTAAATATAATATTGTTTCATTAAGGCAAGGGTTCAATAACTGCATCTAATATAATTGTACAATATAATAATTTTTTATTGAATTGAAAAGAAATTAAGCTTTTTAAAACATTATATTCAGTCCATGCTTGGATAATTTTACTAAACTTTTATTTTTACTTTAATACACGATATAGGCCTATTATTAATGTAAAAATTTGCTGTTTAGTGTGTTGTTTATTTGTATTATTTTCAGCTATAGCAATTTCGTTCAAATTAATATCTGGAGTCTAAAAAAAATCATGGTATAAATTAAATCAGTCTGAACAGAATCGTTCATAGAAAAAAGAAACACCAGGAAATGCTGCTTTTTTGCACAAGATGGCGCTTTACTCATTCATTTATTTATTTCTTCGGCAGGGGGTGTCCACCTCGGTCCTAGAGGGCCGGTGTGCTAAAGACTTTAGCTCTGATTTTGTCCGTTCAATTCACCTATAGCGCATGTCTTTGGACTGTGGGGGAAATCCATGCCAACATGGGGAGGCGACAGTGCTAACTGAGCCACCGCGTCGCCCCATGGCGCTTTACTATTTACACCTAATATTTTAGATTTTCATGGTTTTATATGGTTTGCTGCTTGTGTTAACACATGTGTGTGTTGTTGTTGTTGTTTTCTCAGCACAAATCTTTAATTGTGCCTCTCTAAATAGCCTATAACCTATTTTAAATAAAAACTGGTTCAGTATCCCAGAGAAAAAAACTAGCCTATATTTAGCCATAGATTTATTCCTCGTGGATTTCATTTATTTATTTATTTATTTATTTATTTATTTATTTATTTATATTTTATAGTAATTAATTTTATGTGGTTGTTTAGTTTAAAATGATTTTTTCTTAATTATTTCGGTTGTAATACACGGTTATTTTATCCTTTTTAATTGTTATTAGCAAATATCTTTGACTGCATAGACGTGATATTTTTCTAATAGAGCAAAAAAGGAGTTCAGTTCATTAAAATATATGCTTTGTTCAATTAAAATTTAGCTAGGCTATATTTTAAAATGTGGGCCATTTGGTTTTTGCAAATTATTTCGCAGATGTAACATTAACAACCAAAACTTACCGTTAAACAAATTCCGTGAACTGTTAAACAAAGTGTAATAGGCTATTGTCACGGTTTTATTAACGCAAAGACCAGTGTCGAAAAATGCAATTTATATAAATGTTTAGGCATTCTATCTATCTATCTATCTATCTATCTATCTATCTATCTATCTATCTATCTATCTATCTATCTATCTATCTATCTATCTATCTATCTATCTATCTATCTATCTATCTATCTATCTATCTATCTATCTATCTATCTATCTATCTATCTATCTATCTATCTATCTATACAGATTATGAATTGGCATTTACTTTATACACAGTTTAGAATTGTTTCTACGAATAGTAAATAATATTGAAAAGAAAACAAAAGTGAGCATCAAGGACGAATAAAGGAATAATTCTCTATGATTAGACTATACAGTCCTAGAATGTAAACGTCTGATAGAAAAAAAAAGGTTTTAATCGTTTCTTTGTATATTAACACTGACCATTTCATTTTAACCCTGCAATTAAATCTACGTCACGTATTGCATCAAACTGCACATCAAAGAGGAGCACACACGCACACACACACACACAACAACACGGACAAATATGATATAATTGTTTCGATTTGGATTTTCGTTCAGGAAAGTCGGTGTGAAATACTCGGATAATCTCATGTCATCACTGGAGTACACGAAAAAGGATTGTTTCGCGTCTGGGACTCTGTCATCGGCCTCTCTGAAAGGCACTTTAACCAAATTCAACAGCAGGAGACATAAAGCACGAAAAAAGATCTCCGCACAAAACAAAGAGGAGCCCGAAGCAGAATGTGATGTTTGCAGGTGACACTGTCTATATTTATTCTCAAACATTAGCTTACATCTACTGTTGATGCAAGTCTGATTTAGCCTATAACAAATAACAGGTATGATAATACTCCTGTTTTCCTTCGGCTTAGTCTCTTATTTATCAGGCGTCGCCACAACGGAATGAACCGGCAACTATTCCAGCATATGTTTTAAGCATCGGATGCACTTCTAACCGAAACCCAGTACAGGGAATTAATGAAATTGTCTTAAAATTATTCGATAATCAAGATGTTATTATTATTTTTTTAAAGAAATATTCGGTTTAATGAAGTACATGTGATTATTAATCAGCGGACCTAACATTTGTATGTGTGTGTGTGTGTGTGTGTGTAGTCGCACATTATTTTAAGGTACACTTCTTACTATTACAGTTTTTCTCAGTGGCTTTGGTGCATTTCTCACAACACTATTTATATTTGCACAACAGCTAATGTATTTCTCAAAACAATTAGTACAAACTGCGAAACCTAGCTGATAACCTGCAAAAGCGTGTCACTTGCTCAAAATAGATAGCTCATTCTTCAAAAGCAAGTATTCATGTCAATGAAAGTGTCAGTATCATCAAGATGAAAATTTCTGCCACCATTGTTTATGAACAAGATTGTCAAATGGCTGTCATGTTTTCATTATAACAGTTTACTCTGTTTTTCCAATGCAAATAAAGTCTGATTTTGGTGACACTTCCTGAAAATGCTCAAGACAGCGCTATATATATTTGCACAAACTACAGTAAAGTTAGACATCACTGCATTTAGTCCAAGTACAAGGCACTGAATATGTATGTTTCACATTTTTACTGCATTTGCTCTCTGCAATTATAATTTATTAACAGCATTGTGCAGAAGAATGAATACACCCTTATTTACAACAAACATACACTCCCTTTAGGTAGAGCTGTGCACAACTGTAAACAATATTGCAGCACATATTGGAACTGGACCTACAACACACACAGGTCTGTGAATCAGTCGAGAAATTGTTCATTTTAGAAGACATTTTCAGGGGGAAAAAAAGATTTAAAACATTTTGTAAAATTTGCTTGATAGATTTTGACAACTAGTTCAACATTTTTGTCTGCAATGACTCAAGTAATGAAACGAGGACTATTAGTTTTATATGGAATGACTATTCAGCATTTACAAGTTTAGTTCATTTTGACTGACATGACATAAGCAAATGATAATGTTATAAAACAGCAGAGAGTTGTCTGAAAGCAATTGATGCATGTCCAAAAGCATTTGCAATTTGTTGGAAGGAATGAGAAACTGCTACTAGGATGTGCACAAATGACTAATTGTTTTGAGAAATGCATTAACTGTTGTGCAAATGTAAATAGTGTTGTGAGAAATGCACCAAAGCGACTTAGGAAAAACTGTAACAAACCATTAACTATGACTTTTATTTCAATAAAAACTTAATAGTAACCTAAATCGTTATTAAAACCAGGGTTAGGTTCAAATATTACGTAGGGTTAGGGATTTTTACAGTAAGTACTAATAAACAGCCAATATCTTACAGTTTTTCTCAGTCGCTTTGGTGCATTTCTCACAACACTATTTACATTTGCACAACAGTTAATGCATTTCTTAAAACAATTAGTCATTTGTGCACATCCTAGTAGCAGTTTCTCATTCCTTTTTAACAAATTGCAAATGCTTTCGGACATGCATCAACTGCTTTCATACAACTCTCTGCTATTTATAACATTATCATTTGCTTATGTCATGTCAGTCAAAATGAACTAAACTTGTGAATGCTGAATAGTCATCCCATATAAAACTAATAGTCCTCATTTCATTACTCGAGTCATTGCATACAAAAATGCTGAACTTGATGTCAAAATCGGTCAAGCAAACTTTATAAAAAACATTTTTTTTAACTTTATTTTCCTGAAAATGTCTTTAAAATTGAACAATTTGATGAATGATTTACAGACCTGTGTATGTTGCAGGTTCAGTTCCGATATGTACTGCAATATTGGTTACAGTTGTGCACAGTTCAACCCAAAGGGAGTGTATGTTTGTTGTAGATAAGGGTGTGTTTATTCTTTTGCACAATGCTGTGAATAAATTAGGATTGTAAAGAGCAAATGCAGTAAAAATGTGAAACATACATATTCAGTGTCTTGTACTCAGATACCTCACTAAATGCAGCGATGTCTCACTTTACTGTAGTTTTCAAATGGCTCTGCAAAGAGTAAATAGTGTTATCTTGTGTGTTTTCAGCAAGTGTCACCAACATCTGACTTTTTTGCATTGAAAAAATGTCCAGAGTAAACTCATAATGAAAACATGACAAAGCCATTTGACTATCTTGTTCATAAACAATGGTGTCAGGACTTTTCATTTTGATGATACTGACACTTTGACTGACATCAATACTTGCTTTTGAGGAATGAACTCTCCATTTTGAGCATGTGACGCACTTTTGCAGGTTATCAGCTAGGTTTTGCAGTTTGCACTAATTGTTTTGAGAAATGCATTAACTGTTGTGCAGAAATGCACTGGTGTTGTGAGAAACGCACTAAAGCGACTGAGAAAAACTGTAATAATATATAGATGTAAATGTCAACTACAATTTTGAATGTAATCAACTGTTAAGGGTCTTCTACTTGTAGTTGGCTCAAAAGAAAATGCTTAACTCACTTAAACACTTCATGATTCACGATATGAGAGTTGTTTTCTGCTCTTTTCGCAGGCTGTCTTTACTCAGTTGTGACAATCGTAACCGTACTGTTCGGAGAATTCTGATCGCGTGTGTGATTTCTCTGCTGGCTCTTCTGTCAGCCGTGGCCATGGACTTCAACTCATCGTTGGCTCAATGGCAAGCCACCGAAGCTTCGCTTGAAAAGCTGACGTCCTGCAGCACAAACGTCACACTCGCCCTCATTGCAGAGCTCCAGACATTAAGAAAGCTCAGTTCATCAACTGTAGATAAAAATAAGCAAGAAACAAACTCCTTGATAATGCTCACAGCTAACCAGTGTTGCACTAGTACTGACCTGGACAGTTTGGGGCAGCCGTGTGACATTGAATTACAAGAGTTCTGTGATCATCTTCAATCTAATCTCTCTGAGATGCTCAACGCTACATGGAGAGGCAACTTTGCGGATGCTAATGACACCACAGTTTTTACTCTAGCAATTGAAGAGATATTAAACACATGGGGCGTCAAGGACATTGACGTCAGTCTTCTCCAACACAACCCAACCTGGACTGATGTTCTTGCTCTGAAGCTGCTCCTGACAGCTCAGGAATTGAATTACCTCAAGAAGGTGGAGAATCAGGATGAAATATGGCAAGTGACTGCACTCCTAACAGTCTTAAAAGACATGTCTGAAAACCTCCATCAATGCTGGATGGAAAACATCGACGTTGATTTAAACCTCACGAACGTTAAGGATCTTCTGTACACTACTAGCACGTCTTCAGAAGGATCTACAGATTTGGCCTTGATGAACGTGCAAAGATGTGTTCATTTCAGAGCTGGATGGAGTCTGAAACTGAAATCCAGAGACATTTCATCTAGCATCAGCCTGAAGGTCTGCCTGCTCACCATTGCCTGTCTCATTTACCCCATAGTTCTGCTCTCCTTTAAACAAATGACCGAATGGATCCAAGACTACGCTCAGAGCCTCCGGGAGAAAACCGAAGACCTGAAGAGAGAACGGCGTCTCGCCGAAGATCTCCTTCATCAGATGTTGCCCAAATCGGTGGCCAAGCAGCTTCGCCAAAACAAACACTTTGAGGCTGAGAGTTACGAGAAGGTACTTTATTTGTAAACACTGTAAAGAAACGATGGGTTCTACTCAATTCTTTAGAGTGGAATTCTTCTAGTTCTCTAATTCTCAATTCCTTAGGTTTACTTAACCATTTAGTTGTTTTCCTTTGGCTTAGTGCCTTATTTATCAGGGATCACCACAGCGTTATGAACAGCCAACTATTCTGGCACATGTTTTATGCAGCGGATGCTCTTTAAGCCATAATCCTGTACTGGAAAACCCCCATGCACTCTCTCAATTACACACACTACTGCTGATTTAATTAATCCAATTCACCTTTAGCACATGTTTTTGGACTGTAGGGGAGCACCTGGGGAAACCCGGTAGTAGTTTGAACAAACTTTTTTCGAGTCTACTGTACATTTCTAGAAATCATAGTTTCATTGGAGCCCCTTTACCAAATCCATTTCAAGTCTACAAAAAGACAAGCATATTCATCAGGGATGTTGGCAAGACGGTAGTGTCAGGAAAGCGCACATGCTCCCCTTCTGTTTGTTCTTTTTGTTGTAGTAATTGCCTGTAATTATGGTATTCCATATTCATCAGGAGATAAAACAGCTCATGAGGGAGTCGGGTAAATGACACACGTCTGTATGGGCAATGCGTGCACCTGAAGCCTGTCCCCTTCGATTTAGAGCACTTAAAGCAAATCCTTTTTTTTAATAAGAAGAAGAACTGGTATATAGTGCAGTGTTTCCAAACCCATTTTCAACCTTTTCCTCATCAAACACACCTGAAACAACTCAACAGAACATTAGAAGAGACTCCAAAACCTGAAATGAATGGGTCAGATAAGGGAGACCAACAAAATATGTACTGTTTGCGTGCCTCTTGGAATTGGGTCGGGAAACTGATATACTGTAGCGTGACATAGCAGGATGATTACAAGTTTCATATTGGAACACAATAAATGCGTAAGTGAATAAGCACAATTCATGTTAGCATGTTCTATTTATTAGAAGTTTATTGTTATTTTTATTGAACTTTTTTAACTAATACATTTGGCTTGATATTGTAATTATTTAAATAAAAATATTAAATGTCAATTTTATACGTCAAGCTTTCACAAGGGGTCTTTTGTATCAATTCCGATAATATTTGCTCTTTTGTCTGATTTGCCACCTCAGTCAAACAATCCCAGAACCGGCCCTACATTGCAAACAAATTTTATGGGCTGAATTAAAACAAACTACTTAAATTTAATGCTGTTAAACTTAATTTGTTTGTTTTAATTCAGCCCATATAAATTGTTTGCAACACTCACCAACCAACCCAGACTCATTCCGGAAACGTAGCCTTGCGGACGTTTCTGGAGACCGGGAAATACGTCCTGGGAGGTACGTATTTGTGCAGTTTTTGTTTTCGCGAATCCTCAAGAGGCTGCTGTGCGCGCTTTTTCACGTCTCGGACACCTCTTGCAAGTGCCGTTTGTGCCCGCGCTATTCTCGCGTAAAGCTGCTGGGGGCCGCTGTCGAGAGATCGTCTGTTTGACTGACTGAATGACCGAATAATTGACTGGGCGACCGGCCAATTGGTCGACCCACCCTCCTCCTTCTCCTCGTCCTTCCCTAAACCCAAGCAACAATTTACAAAAGCCATCCAGAAAAAGAAAAGCCCTCGTCTGATTTTTACTACGTTTGCAGATTTCACCACGTTCTCGCCCTGTCATGAACTTGTTCACTTTATTTTTTAGATTCCATTTTTGTCTTACCTGATTTCTGGAACCGCTCTTCCCTGGACTCGAACCCAGTCGTAGCGGCTGGCTCCCCTCCAGCTCTCTGCTCCGCCGACGTACACGACTAGCTAACCGGACAAACTTTTTGTGGCGGGAAAGCCCTCCACACGGATTCAAGCTGTCAGCTGGTGAGCGCGAAAAGGAGCGGTGTCACACCACCCCGTAGCATTCGCTTAAAAAAATAAAATGCGGCCTCACATACCTCCGGCCACGTAAATCGCAGTCTCCAGGGCGTCCGCAGGGCTACGTTTTCAGAATGAGCTTAGGTTGAAAAAAATTGTAAATCTAAATAATAATTTTAGGCAACGGGGTGGCGCAGTAGGTGGTGTTGTCGCCTTACAGCAAGAAGGTCACTGGTTTGGCTGGGTCAGTTGGCGTTTCTGTGTGGAGTTTGCATGTTCTCCCTGTGTTTGCGTGGGTTTACTCCAGGTGCTCCGGTGTCCCCCACAAGTCCAAAGACATGCGCTATTTGTGAAATGGGTAAACTAGATTGTCCGTAGTGTATGTGAGTGAATGAGAGTGTGTGGGTGTTTCCCAGTGATGGGTTGCAGCTGGAAGGGCATCCGCTGCTTAAAACATATGCTGGATACGTTGGCGGTTCATTCCGCTGTGGTGACCCCAGATTAATAAAGGGACTAATCCGAAAAGAAAATGAATGAATGAATGAATGAACAATGAATCATTTTTTTCAGTGTACAATCAACTCTCTTCTTCATTAAATATAGCAATGTGGTTATTCTTATTTTTCTTGGGTTGATTGTTATTTTTTGTACACAACTAATACAATTATTCTCTTCCAGGTGACAATTTTCTTCTCTGACATTGTGGGTTTTACTGCTATATCGGCCTCCTGCACTCCATTACAAGTTGTTGAGATGCTGAATAACCTCTACATGTGCTTCGACACACGCATTGACTCCTATGATGTGTACAAGGTATCATATCAGCATATTCTGAAATTAACTATTACAATTTCTATTGATAGAGCATATGAAAGCATGTAGGGTTTATGTAATTGGTTCGGATGAGACATTAGATTGAGGTCCTGACTCTCTGTGGTGACTAAACATTCCATGGCACTTCTCGTAAAGAGTAGGGGTGTAGCCCTGATGTCCTGGCCAAATTCCCTCCATTGGGCCCTACCCATAATGGCCTCCCAATCATCCCCATCCACCGAATAGGCTTTATCACTGTCACATTGGATGCTGCAACTGGTGGTGGTGAGGAGAGACCACCCAAACGCAGTTATGCTAGTAACATGTTGGTAACAGGCTTATCATGTTAACGACATGGTAGTAACATGCTAATCATGCTAGCAATGTTAATGACATGCCAAATATCCAAAAAGATTGCTAATAACATGCTATTAATGCTAGCAACATTCCATTAACACTTGGACCATGATAGAATCTTACTAACATCTTGCTTACTGCAATATGTATGGAGCTAAACTGTGCAGGACACCGGCCCTCGAGGACCGAGTTTCTCGGTCTAATCATTCTATCTACGCTAGTAATACCATAATTATGTTAGAATCATGCTAACAACATGCTAGTAACACATTAATCATGCTAGCAGCATGCCTGTGACACATGGTCTAAACATGCTTACAACATGTTGATTGTGCTAAAATTATGCTATCAACATGCTAGTGATATGGTAATAATGCTAGTAACATGTTAGTAACAGATTAATTTTGTTAGCAACATGCTAATCATGCTAGCAAATGCCCGTCACACAATAAAAACGTTGATCATGCTAAAATCGTGCTATCAACATCCTAGTTATATGGTAATTATGCTAGTAACATGTTAGTAAGGGGCTAATTTTGATAGCAACAAAGTAGTAACATGCCAATCATGTTAACAAAATGTTACTGACATGCTAATTATGCTAACAATACTCATGCTAGCCCTGCTGAAAAATCCAGCTTAAACCAGCCTAGGCTCGTTGGCTGGTTTTAGCTGGTCGACCAGGCTGGTTTTAGAGGGGTTTTGGCCACTTCCAGGCTGGTTTCCAGCCATATCCAGCCTGGTCTTAGCTGGTCAGGCTGGAAAATGACCCGGCTGGTCAACCAGCAAAAACCAGCCAACCAGCCTAGGCTGGTTTAAGCTGGATTTTTCAGCAGGGAGTTCAGGGATGGGCAAACTTGTGTCCTGTAGAGTTTTGCTCCAACACTAATCAAACATCTGAACATGTTAATCAGTGGCTTCAAAATCACTAAAAACCTATAGACAGGTGTTGATTATGGTTTGGAGCTAAACTCTGCAGGACATTGGCCCTTAAGGACTGAGTCTGCCCATCCCTGTGCTAGTCCCAATGTTAACAATAGTTTGTAGTTTGTAGTAACATACTAACCATTCTATATGTCAGTAACAGTAGAATCATGCTAGAATCATGCTAACAACATGTTAGTATCATGTTAATCATGCTAGCAACATGCCAGTGACACAATAAACTTGCTGTACTCATGCTAACAAAATGCTGATCATGCTAAGATCATGCTATCAGCATGCTAGTGATTTGGTAATCATGCTAGTAACAGACAAATTTTGTTATTTTAGTAACATGCTAATCATGCTACCAACATGCTAATGGCATGCTAATCATCAAAAAAGAATGCTAATAACATGCTGTTCATGCTAGCAACATGCGATTAACACTTTAACCAAGATAAAGTCTAACATGTTGTTAGCATAATTAGCATGTTAGTAACATTTTGTTAACATGATTGATGATTAATGATGGCGCGATGGAGATTATCAGTCATTTGCGGGAGTCTTTATGCACATCTGGGAGGCTTGGGATGTCTGCTAGCAACATGGCCATGACAAAATAAACATGCTGTAAATATGTAACATGCTGATGTTGCTAAGATTATGCTATCAACATGCTAGTGACATGATAATCATGTTGGAAACATGCTAACAGCATGATAATCATGTAGCTAGCTAACATGCTAATCATGCAAATAGCCAGTCTGAACACCAGAACAACTGCTTAGAAACCACTGAAACTACTATCTTTTTAACTCTTTAAACTGTTTAAACATCAAGCTTTTAAAGCTACTTTGAAACTATAATTCTCAACCCTGCTGAAAAATCCAGCTTAAACCAGCCTAGGCTGGTTGGCTGGTTTTAGCTGGTCGACCAGGCTGGTTTTAGAGGGGTTTTGGTTTCCAGCCATTTCCAGCCTGGTCTTATCTGGTAAGGCTGGAAAATGACCAATTAAATCCAGCTAAAACCAGCTTGACCAGCCTGGTTAAAGCTGGACATAGCTGGTTTTGGCTGGGCTCCCAGCCTGGCTAGGCTGGTCAAGCAGGTTTTAGCTGGTCATCTCCCAGCCTGACCAGCTAATACCAGGCTGGAAATGGCTGG